TTTTCTCTCCATGAAGAAAAATAACACAAATTATTGCTGCTAGTTGTTGACTATAACTTTACAAACTGTAGTGGAAACTCTTCTGTTCTCTGATGCTGTTAAACTTTGCAGGGTTTGGTTTTGAGGATCGTAGCCTGCAGCAGTAACGCTGCATTTCTGGGCTCTGCTATGCTAAATAATAAGTAATAATTTGTTGGAATGTCTAAAATGGATCTCCCAGGACTGATAAAACGCACCTGAAGCCTGAGAGGAAGCTTCTGATGGAGGATTTCCTAAACCTGACTGTTTTTGTGGGAACCAGGATCCAGTCTCTTCTCCTGGAGGTGGATTTGTGGACCGAAGACGCACCGTTCCTCTGTGGGGAGGCGCGTTGTTAAGTGGTGTAATGGGGCGGCCATTAAAGTTGTGTTCGATGAAGGTAGGTCCAGTTTAACAAGCGCCCCCCAGCGCTGTTTAACTGGACAGCGCTGGGGGGGCATCTGGTTCTGATTACGACCCAGTAGGAAAACACAATAGGCCTCTTCAGCCGGGCTCTTGATGCTGTTCGCTCCGATTTGGCTTGACGCTTTGCCACAATTCCCAGCCACAAACAGAAACACTTGAAACCTGAAACTCATAAACAGCCCATGTTTCTGCTTAACCGCTGATTTCTGGGCTTGACGAGGCAAACCGCAGAGTAATCTGATTACAAGATGGATGGAAGAAAGAGGCTGCTGCTCCGCTCCGTGATTCGCCTTTCAACAGCTTCACCACAAGCTGACCCGACTTTGACTGGGTTTAAACCCGTTAGCGTCACAATTTCAGCAGCGTAACGTTTTTGAAGGCATTAAGCTGAAGCTACAGTCGTTTCCTGGTTTCCAAAAGGAAACTGGAACATAAAACTCTGCTTTTTACTACAGTTAATGCTTTGGCCGGCTGACCGGTTCTCCCTGTGCTACTTTCTCCTACTACTCTCCAATTATCCATAACCAAACAAGGCTGCTTTCAGGCTGAGAGGCTCTTGAAATGCTAACAGAGCTAATGCGACTGTGAGACCAGGGCCGACACCAGACCCTAAACAGCTGTTACCGGACCGGACACAGAGCTGCAGAACCACTGACTGGACCGCAGTCGGACCAGAACCAGGTCGGCGTCGTTCATTGTTTCATTCATGAAGCTGAAGGCGGCAAAACACCATCAGATTCTTCCTCCGTTTGCTGCTCCTCATTTTCTACATTCATTTTAACCCTCCGGTTCAAACTGAAACGTTAGTCAGCATGCGCCATTTACCCATAATGCATTGCAGCATAAACAACAGTAACGTCCTCATGACAATATTTACATAAAACTAGTAAAAACTAAACAGCATTCAGTATTATTGTTAATATTTCTGTGAACGAGTCGGACCTGTCTGTCCTGTGAAGCTCATTACATGAGAAAACATGCATTGTAAACCAGGCCGTGTTTGTGTGACGTCATTGCTGCAAGGCTTTCTGTTTGAACAGCTTGTCGCAGCAGCGCCTCAGCCCATCAGGTCAGTGTTTTTGAGGGCAGCAGGTTTACTTTGGCCCCTGCAGTGGAGCCGGTAAGCAGTTTGCTTTTCTCTTTAAGCTCTGATGACAGCTGCTGTAGCTCTTCACAGCAAACTGGGAGGAGGCGCCACTGCACCACAGAGCCGCCGTTCATCATCGCTGCTCTGCAACTTAGACTTTTGACACCACAGAATTTGCTGTGGTTGTAATTCATTAAAGATTAACTAACCTCCAGATTAACTTTTTCATGATAAAATGAATAAATTTGTGTTCAAGAGTTCTATCTTAGTGTTTTTATTCAACATTAACGCTGAGTGCTGCCCTCTTCAGGTCATAGGGTGGTACTGCATGTATTGGTTCCGTCAGGTTTTGTTAGCGATTCTATTGCAGTTCTGCAGGGCAAGTTAAAGAATCATCCAGCAAATTTTCCAAATGTAAACAATAACATGCAACAGCTCTATAAAACCGTCTCACCCAGACACGCCCCCTGGTGGCGAGTCAGGAGTTGGGGAATTTTGAGTGATAGTGATATTCTGTCAGACCAGTCAACCTACTCAATTCCTGCAGGGCAACTGGTGTTTTCACATTTTGCCTTAAAAGTCTGTAAGAACAGGAAAAGTTGTGAGATTTGACCACACCCCCCAATTAACCGCCTCCACTTGTTCCCTCTCCTGGCCCCGCCCCTCAGTGTTTATTGGCCCCACCCACCTTTCTTTGTTCACTGTCAGGGTCAGTGACCTGAGTGAAGTTGGCCTCTGCACCTTCTTCAAATCAGACAAAATTGCTGTCAAGCGTTTGTGCAGCAAACATTTTCATTTGTGCTGCTATCATTTTAGAGATACAAACTTCTAGAGGTCATCAAAGGTCAACAACTTTAATCAGAAACATTTGCATTGGTGATAAAAGAAAGCCTTTCTGAGGTCATCGTTGACCTGTGATGACCTCTAGAAGTTTCTTTGTTTTAGCTTTGCATCATGTTATGATGTTATTCTCTCATCAGAAACATCATGGAGGAGCATTGCTGTGATGAGGTGCTAAAGTGTTGGAAAGACATAAACATGAAATAAATACAATAAAGAAGCATATTTGCCCTCAGACCAGGAGGCAGACGTTGAGTCAAGACAAAGCAGAGTTTTAAATATGGCGGACGTTGATGCCGAACCCACCAACAGCCTCCCAGTCATCCTGTTTTCTCTTTAACAATCGTTTTCCATCAAAGCAAGGAAAAAAGGAACCATACCACAAAGTCAATTTTCCAATTATGCTTCATTTCCTGTTGAGCCAACCCTCCGTTTACACCGTCATAAATCATAGGAAATATCAGTCACCATAAATCATATGTACAGATTTAAATCAGCTGTTTGCATAATCCACTGGCTGTGTCTCACATGGACTAATGTGTGGAAATCTGTGATAATTAAATCCAGGCGGTGTCGGCCCGGTTCGCCAGAACTCTGCTGCTCAGCTCCTCCAGCTGCAGCCTGACAGTAGCTCACATTAACTCTGCTTTCCACGGGATGTTTGTCTTCAGCGTCACTTTTCTGTGACTGTCATCGGCTCTTTGAACAGTTTGGAATAAAAAACCTCTGAACAAACTTTTAACTCATTGATTTTTGTGAAAGACAAAAACAAACATCTTATTTTGCAAAATATGAAACTAAGTTCTGCATAAAATGTATTTATTGACTGATTATTAACAGTGATTAGCTTAATATTGCAGGATGTTTAAATAGAAGGTGCAACGAAGAAGCATCTGCTGCTGCTAATTAACCTGGGAAGGGTCAAAGGTCATCTGTAAACCGCATAAAAGATTATTTCCAAGAGGAAAACATCTCATCAGCTGAATATGCTTCCCTGCAGATTCAGCAAGAAACGCAAAGAAATGATCAATTAGTTGTTTAAAGGTCAAAGGTCAGATCAAAGCATTGCTTCTTTGGGAGGTTGAAGCAGTTGCATCTGAATAAAACTTTCTAGAATATTGTCTGGAGATGAAACCCGAGGAGAGATGTTTGGCCTCAGCAAATCAGCTCAAACAATTCAAACTGACTATAGAACACGGTGGTGGCAGGTTGATGATGTGGGCTTGTTTTACAGACAAGTGAAACAACAAACAAATTCACCTCACAGAAAGGATCCCAAGCAGTCAACGACTAGGCAACTAAACCATTATTAGCTAATAAAAATGATTTGTTGTATTATTTAGTTAGCGTCACACCAGCAACTAAACTTTATGTTTGCTGCGTATTTTTGTGTTTCAGATTAAAACAAACTGTGTCTTATCTGTGTCTTGTATTTGCTGAGTTAAGCTGAATTTAGAAGGAGGATCACATCCTTCCAACAAATAAATGGGTTTCATTTCAGACCAAGCTGCCATAAACACAATCAGGAGAAACCGCTGCAGCTGCACCTAACACTTTTTATGACGTGTTAATGATGCCGAGCTGCAGCGAAGCATCCTGAACAGAAACGAGACGCTTGTAGGATCCAAACTCAACCAGAACTATTGAGAGTCTCCCAGTCCGGTTCTGCTCAGCTTCTGGCTGTCAGCCGGGTTCCATGCTGAGGGATGAAGGGTCCGACCGGAGCCTCGGCTGTGATTAGAGGAAACGCTGACGTCACCGCGTCTGGTTGGCTCCTGGCCCCGACCCGGACAGACGGACAGGTGTGCTCACTGCCGACGGGTTTCTCATAACAACTAGAAGGAAACATTTTTCTCAGGATGTTTTTACACCTCACAGCCTGATAGACTCAGTTTGAATTGGGACCAAAAATGCATCACTTGTTCCATTTCCAGATGCTGCGGTTCGCTTTCACAGGATACCGCTCCAAAAGCAGGAAGTGGACTACAACACAGGGCATTCTGGGGAAATCCAACCAACGCTAACATGTTAGCCTAGCGCTAGCAGCAGAAATGGCTCCTGGTCTTCAGCCAAAGACTAAAGAGAAATCACTAAACTCTGACACCTCCATCTTGTTTTATCTGGTGAAACAGGAAGTTGCTCTCAGTGTCTTCAGAGGTTTTAGTGTCGTTTCCTGCAGTGGTTGTTGGTGCAGCGCCCCCACAGGCCAGGAGGGGAACAGGCTGGTTGGACTCAGAACCACAGCAGCTGGAGGTGGAGCAGATGATGGAGTTCTGGTTCCGTAATCAGACTATCTGGTGGAAAAACAACTTTAGATGCATCACTGAGCTTTAAATGTTTCAAACATGTTAAAATAGGAACGAGCCAGTCTTGAAGCGAGGTTCAGTAGGTGTTGGTTTATCTGCAGTGATCACAGCTTTTGCTGTTTTTGGCTGTGGGTTTGGAGATAAACAGAAATGACAGCAGACCTGTTCGACTGATGAAACAAGTCAACCTCAAAAGTTCATTATTGATACATAATTATTTTAAAAAACGAACTATCCATTTAAATAATTAAAACATAAACACACCAACGTCAAGTGACAAAGTGAAATCAGCAGCAACAATTAAAGTCGTCATCCTTTTCCAGTTTGTTCTTTAATCATTAATCATCACTGGCAGGAAAAAGAAATATGTAATTTTTAATCAGATTTTATTCATTCAGGTTTTACAGTGCTGGTTTATTTGAACATTGTTGGCCTTTTTAAGGATGTTAATTATGCAGATTAACCAGAAACTGTAGGAACTTGTTCAACCCCAGTGAAACATGGATGTTATCAATAAAAATGGCATTCCTGTGTTTGACTGTACTTCTGGCATCTGAAACTCTCAGATTCCTCCAATAGTTCAGTCTGGGCATCATTCCTGACGGGGTCAGAGGTTCCCACTGATAGCAGTCCGAAGCTCAGTCACTTTGGAATTTTTTATTGAAGACTAGTCTAAACAATTTTCCCACATTTGGAGCAGGTCAGATTAGCACTTCATCACTGGTTGGTATTTATACATCAGGAATTCTTCACATGCTTTACAGAAAAAAGGACATCTTGGTTAAAGAATACAAATGACTCCATCAGATAAGTGCTGGAAAAAAAGGGGGCGGTTCTGAGTATAATTCACTTAATGTTCCTGCAGAACGATTTCCACCAATCAGGATGCAGATACGGATCTGAGGAGAGTCTTTTCTGTTTTTGTTTTGGGCCGTCTCTCAGACACATCCTGACAACGTCAACAGTTTAAGTGAGTCTGTGTTTAAGAGCACAATCTCCATCAGTTTATCTTCCTGTGTTTAGTCTTTGAAGCCTTTGGTATGCAGTGTGAAAGCCCACTGGAGTGGGGAGAGCCATGTCTGTGGCACAGCAGTATGGAAGGCCCTTCATAAACTTACTCAGTCTAAAATTAACAATAATAACAATCAATCATAACAAAGTCATATTTTCACCATGTTAGTCATTCATTTATAAATGACACACTTTCAAGCTCAGTATTTAGCTCAAAACTACTGAGTTAGCTTACTATTTAGCTTAAATATTTAGTTTGAAGCAAACAAAATATTTAGTTTTAACTAGCTTCAACAGAAATATTTAGTTTGCAACTTAAATATTTAACCTACTAACTAAATATTTACTTTGAAATAAACAAAATATTCAGCTGTTTGCCAGCTTAAAAGTAACTGTTTAGTTAGGTTGCTAACTGCATATTTAAATAGCAAACATGACATATAGCTTAAAGCGAAATATTTAGTTTGTACCTCAATATTTACCTTAAAGCTAAGCATTCAGTTAGCAAGCAAAATTATTTAGCTCCAAACTAAATATTTAGCTTGCCAATTAAATATTGAGTTTAAAAATGTGATATTTATAAATGGAGTAATAAAATGGTCAAAATGTGCCTTTGAAATCGTTTTTCTCTTATGACAAACTAAATTCTCTGAATTATTGCTGTTAATTCTGACAGTGTAACTTTACACAACAACGGGCCCCATACAGCAGCGAGTCTTTTGCTCCCTGATGGTTTTCTTTGTGGATTTCAGAGAACTTGGAACAAACGGAGTCTGTTTTCTGTGGCTGCTACCTGCAGCCGCAGGACTCCACCACCATCTCCTCGTACTGCTTGTAGACGACGTTGTTGGCTGAGTCGATGTAGAGGATGCTGATGGAGCTGAGGCGCGTCGGGACGCAGCAGGTTGGCGGGGTCGTGTGCGGTTCCAGGGAGTTGATCAGGGTCTGGATGATGGCGTGGTTGGTGGGCTCCAGGTGCGAGCGGATGGGGAAGTCACAGGCGCCGTCGCAGTGGTAGGCGTCGTACTCCAGAGGTGCGATGATCCAGTCGTGCCAGCCCATGTCCTGGAAGTTGACATGGAGTCGCTGGCGATGGCAGCGTGGCCTGGACTTAACCGCCTGGTGCTGCGGGATGACCTGAGAGAAGGCCCGGAGGGGTTTCTTGGCGCCTCTTGGCGGAGGAGCTCGCCTCATCCGTCGCTGGTTGAACAGATACTCGTAGACGGTTTTGTTGTCGTGACCCGAACGTGCTTTGATCTCATTGTAAAAGAGATCTCGCTTCTTGCTTTTCCCAAACGCCAGGAGGAATGCCTTCCTTGTTGGTCCTGCCGGGTCGAGCGAAGCCCAGAGCCCGCAGGTCCAGCGGACGGCCTCCTCGGTGCTCCAGGGCCTCCAGCTCCAAGCACAGCTGCTGGTTCTTGAATCCCTTGAAGACTTTATAAACGTCAAACACTTCCCACTTGTTGCTGAATCCGCCCAGGAGGTCATCCACCGTCCTGGACTGGAGCAGAGCCGCTTTCTGCCGGCCTGAAGCGCAGCTATAAAGCTTCAGCCAGGGCACCGAGCCTCCATCAGCCGCCGCCACAGAGACCGGCTTCCTCAGGATGCGGAGCTCGGCCCCCAGGAGCCCATCGCGCTCCAGAGAGCTGATGTTGAACTGGTACCTCTGACGTCGCAACATGGGCCCTCGATCATCTACGAGAGACGAAACAGAGTTAAAAGGTTACATTGGAGATTTAGTTTAATGAACAGCATCTGTTTGAAGAAACTCTGCCAGCTGGACACATGTCTAATTATTTCAATATATTACATGTTTTATAGAACTGTTTCCACTTTGTGCATTAATTTGAAAACAGCTTTTCATAATGATTCCCTAAATTTCTGATTTTTTGGATGTATTGAACAATAATGTCAAAAAAGGATCATCAATATTTCTATCACCTGTAATCAAATAACAGAAAATCGCATGTGAAGTAGACAGCCTCGCTGTTGTTCAGTTTAACTGAAAACTTAGAATGAAAAAAGGAAAAGATTGTTAGCAGTTCTTTCAGCTTTGATAAGTGATGTTTAATGTTTAATCAAGTTAATTGCATGGTCTTCAATTAATCCTATTTTAAGCACCATAATAAGCAACATTTTCAATTCAAAAACAATTTTTGCTGCTAAATTTTTGAATATATAGACATGGAACTTCTTCAGAAATGTGTACTGCGGAAGCTGTTAGCAACATGTTTAGCATCCAGATGCTTTTTAAGGCTTGAATAGCTTTGCTAAGAAGCTAACTCCTTTTTTAGCATAACTGGAATGCAACAATAGTCTTTTCCAGCATCCAATCAGATCAAAGCAGAAATGAACCCCCAGAGAAGGAACGCTGTCGTCCGTCGCTGTTGTTACCGGTATGTGTGTCAGAGTTACTGGCGTACCAGAAACATGTGATTGTAAACGTTCCGTTCAATACTTTTGTATGAAAAGAAAATAACGCCTATAGTTTTTTTTACTCGTTAAAATTTATGTAATTAATTAATCGATATTAACAGATTAAAGTCCCAGTTCTGTTAGACGTCAAAATAGAAACATTTCTTTTAAATCCTATACAGCACAACACTGACTGACCTTTGCAAAATACTGCAATAGTGAAAGGAAGCAGCAGAAAATCTGCTTCTCAGTTACATTTCAGCTTTTGTTGCATCTGCAGCATCTGATTCACAAAACAAACAGCAGGACTAAACAGTCACTGCAAACAAATGTTGTTTTTTATCAACTCTGTTGCACCACAGGAAACTCAGAAGTGGCATCGAGGAATGAAAATGGTTCCTCAGTGAATCCGATCATAAAACCTGAACAGTCTCATTGTGTCAGAGAGAAATTCTGTTTAGGATCACATGTCTTTGAAAACTAATGGGAAAAGAACATGAGATTATTTATTCCTCTCAGATTTTACACTTCATACTAGAAAAACAAATAATTCAACAAAAAAACTCTAATGTTTCATCAACTGCCTTTTTTTAACATACACACAACCTATAACTGGGACGACTAAAGGATCGGCTCGATTTGCGATTGCGATTTGAGATTGACTAACATGCAGGAAGCAATCAAAGCATCACTCCAGAAATGTTTTGATGATAAGAAAACATTATAAAATTATATAAATCTAAACAAGTCAAATTTACATAATTTCCCCCCTTCAAATTCTGCAAATTTTAAGATTAATTCATTTGAATTACTCTCAAAAGTGAATTTCTCATTGTCAAAAAAATATGTATTTAGTGTTTCCAAGTTGAGAAAAATATATTCTAGATGAAGAAAAGATTGCTGTCAAAATCTTTATTTCTGTAGATTAGGGATCCTCAAATCTGTGTGTAGAGGTTCGCACTACAGAAACACAAAATTTTAAGTATTTTTTTTGTCTAGTTTCTAATGCAAATATCTTAGTGCACTTTAAATATGTCAACATTGACTTAACAGAAACTTTTCAGTAAGAAATAGGAGCTTGAAGAAAATAACTCCTTAATATTGATGGAAAAATACTAACTCCATTGGCAGAATATTTCCACTTAAAACATGGTAAAATGTCTTGTAATAAGTGAAATAATCGAGTACCTATTCATCAATTGTAAGGAAATACTTAAAACAGGCTACTATGTTTAGATGAAAAATTACTTGTAATTTATTTATTTCAAGACTGTTGAGATAATTGCAGTAGAAATTAGACTAAAGCAACTTGTGTTTTTGCAGTGTGGTGTCCTGCAACTTGTGGATGTGTCCCTGAAACGACTCGACTGCCTCCTCTGTGCTCAGTCCTGCTCCTGACACGATTATGTGACTCAGATGTACTGAAGCAGAAAGACATCTGAAAGTTGCAGGACTCCGTCCCTCGAGGCCTGGAGTTCAGGACACCTGCTATAGATATTTTTTCTTTTTGTGCCAGCAAAGGCTAATGAGTTAGTTTTCCACATAAAGTTGTAGAAACATGTAGAGGACTTGGAAATGTTTTGTTTTCTTTCAATGGTAGAAACCAGCAAAGGCCATCCAAATGAAACCCAGCATAGAGATAATCTAAAACACACCCAAACACGCGTGTTTGTAATTGTAGTATTTTGAGGACCTTGGCTCATGTGAGACTTTCTGAGGACTGTCACACTAAACTGAAACCGGACCCCAAACCAAACCCTGAAACCAAGCCTGAGCCTTCAGACTGCAACAATGTGATGTGCTTTCTCTTCCAAAGATGTCCTGAAACTCATCACAGTCCTCAAAGGAACCCCTGGATCCTCACACAGTTTATTCCTTCTCACGACACCCTTTCTCCCATCCAGCACCGCCAGAGCGGTAAAAAGTACATTAGAACCAGACAGGGAGTCCACATCTGACCACAAACAGGCCTGCTATTACAGACCTGCAGCTATTCCCCACTGACAGCAAACCAGCATCTGCTACAGAGGAAACAAACCATCAACAGCAAACACACACACACACACACACACACACACACACACGCACGCACGCACACACACACATACGCACACACACACACACTCACACACACACACACACACATACACACACACACATACGCACGCACGCACACACACACACACACACGCACGCACACACACACATACGCACACACACACACACACACTCACACACCCACACCCCCACACACACACATACACACACACAGAGAGAAAAAGAAAGAAATGTTGGCACTTCTGTACAGACGGCCTGATTAAAGCTGAGAGGAATTTGATTTCACAAAGTCTCACATACTTTTAAAGCAGAAAGGTTGAAAATGTTTGCAAGCTGCAAAAATGTTTACAAGCTGCTGAGTTCTCAGGTGTGGTCTTTGTTATCACCTCAGACTTTACATCCTTTAATGTACGAAAGAAAATCCAAATCATTTCTGGCACTGAGCCCACATGGAAAAGGTTTTCGTGGAGATAATTTGAGCTTTCTAAATAACGTTGTTGGCCTCAGATTTCACCTGCCACAGGCTTCAGGCGAGCGGACGGTGGGTGGGCCATGAGGCTGATCAGAGCTACACTCACAGAGAGCTGCTCATCGAAAACTGAGCCTGGATTTCACTTTTGTTTGAGTAGCTAATGTAGCTAATGCTACAGAAAGAGGGCTGATGGGTTTTCTAAACATTCATTTTCTTAATGTGAATCCTGCTGCTCTCCAGGATGGCTTTGGTTTATTTTAATGAGGCAACAAAAATAAACTACAGCAAATTACGATAAAATATTGTGTGGTACTGGCTGCATAGCTTCCAATGCACTGCAGTGATGTTGCTGGTTGTTTGGTTTCCTTGTAATTTCGTATTTCTTCACATTTTCTGTTTGGTGGTAAAAATGTGAGTCTTATCTTATTAGCTGAGGTATTCTGGATGAGAAGATGTTCAATACCTCATCAACTCTGTCTCCAGGCTGCAGCATCAGGCTTATTGCTGTGTGAGTTACAGTCAAAGTGGTTGGGAATCTGATTTATTTGGACTTACACAATTAATAGATGAGACCCTCAGAATGATTTTACTGTGGCTCTTTGGGGATCCAAGAGAGCATTTCAAAACACCCAGAGGGTAAAAAAACAACAATAAAAAAGCAGAGAGAAAAAGGAAGAAAGAAAATAAATAATAAAGATTTAAAACAGTAACTCACAAAGGAGGAATGAAAAGTGAAATGAAGGAAGACTATAAAAAGAGAAGGGAAGCTGTAAGGTCATCAGCCTCTTCTGTAAATATGTGGTCGAGGTCGACGGCATCCTGCTGAGGACTTGCTGAACAAATACAGGCTAAATTACAAGTGCATTAAGTGCTGGAAACATAAACCTTCCAGCAGCAGCAGAAATATTAAACTTTGGTCATTTAAACATTGTTTCAAACAGTTTTACACGGTAAAAACAACACGACACCAAAGGGGGCCTGGAGGAGCGTTTATTTACCCTCCTGGAGACGGATATCACTGAGAGCCCACCAGATGTTGGAAAAGCACAGCTGCAAATCACAGACGGGTAAAGTCTGCAGTACGTCCACAACTGGATCAGAACAAACACACACACACACACACACAAACACACACACACACACACACACACACACACACACACACACACACACACACACACACACACACCTACATCCATGTTCCCAGGATTGCTCCATGGAAGCACTGCGCTGTCTGGTTTCAGATTCTGAAAAATGATTCCATTAAATTCATTCTGAGGTTCTAATAAGAACCAACATTTGCAAAAGGAATCCAGAATCACAGGTTATATTTTCAAAATGCCTCCTGGTGGTTCACTACTGACCACAACTTTTTCCTAGTTATTGAGATAGTAACCAGAAGAATCTGTTAATTGTATTGCGACTCATATTTTCCACATTTGACCATTGTTTAAAACGTAATGCAAAAATCTGACAGAATTGTAATCTATGATTTTAACAGATTACAATTCACACCTCTGACTACCTGATCATTAATCAATGACAAAATCCCCACATGGACATCATCTCTGATCTGGACACTAATTTTAATGCTTCTCACTTCCCAGAGCTCTGGACGCTTCGCAGCATTTTCCCTGAGCCACGGCATGCAGGAAACGAAGAACCATCAACCGCTGAGTTTTCCCAACTTCTGATCACTTAAATTGGTAGCTGGTTATGATGTCACCAGGTGACTCTGGACTCATCCAATCACAGAACAGATGCTTAGAACAGATAAATGAGCCAAAACTTTCTTCGGCTGTAGAACATTTCCAGGATTAAAATATTTATGGCTCAGCATCAGAGAAACTCATCCATGCATTAATCATTAATCGATCTTTAATTGATTACTGCAGCAGCGTCTTATGGTGCAAAATACTTTGAACTGACTTGTTACCAAAATGTAACACCTCAGGCCACGCCTCCAGGCCCCATCATGCACTTTGTTCACAGAAAAACGCGTTGGTAAATGACCAGTTGAAATTATAATACAGTCGATCAGCACAAAAAGCCAGAATACACATCGGTTTTATTGCTGTACATCTACAAAACAGTGATCTCGTAAAAAACTCTGGTTTTTGCTGCACTGCTGTGCCCTGAAGTCAGGCTGTTTTAGGAAAACATGATATTTGATATTTTCCTTCAACTTGTCTGGTTTCACGTGACATGAACACTTTTCAGGAGGAATTACATCAGCCCAGTTCTTCACTAAATCACTTCAAAACTGTAAATGGATAAAACTGCAGGATGGAAATTGAAACATGGTCCATGGAGGAGGCTGTCTGCAGAAAGGTGGCGCTCTCTCTGGGAACGGTTTGTAAAAACAAAGCAGAGGACAAGGAGGGAAAAACACTTTTCATAACTCCATTTGTCATTCTGCCTTGCAGAGCAGGCTGCAGAAAATCATGAGGATCCTTTTCTCTCCTCCTCTCACACACCCAGCACCGCCCCCCTCTGGTGACCTGCAGATTGCAGGTTGACCCCGCTCACTCCACACCCACCCACCTTCCCTTCCTGCAGGACTCTGTCACTGTCTTGCTTTAGAGCTGATCAGATGCACGGCTCTCAAGCTCCAGAGTATTCAGTCCCCCAAACAAGATTCGGGCAACATCATAATGTTTTATTAGATAAAAAAAATAAAAAATCTAATCCAGGAGTGCAAAACTTTTTAAAACAGGAGCCACGACTGTGAAGTTCAAAAAATCATGGGCCACAAACATTGTATCTGTCTTGTTATGAAAATTTGCAGAGACAATTCTATCAAAAAAGCATCATTACAAGAATATTCTCATTAAATTATTTTATAGATTAATTTCGGTACAGAAATTATCTGCAAATTATTTCAGAGTGATTGCAGGCCACAGATTGTTATTTAAAACATTCTCTCATAAATTCGTGTAATTCTCCTTTTCAGTAAAAGTTTTGGATGTTTGTAACATAAAAATGAAAGCAAAATGTGTTGACTAAAAGATTCATAATTTGTGACGTTGCTTACATTTTCTTTTTTTCAATATTATTTTGCATCATTTTTTTTGATCAGTGAAATTCTCTTCAGTTTGCATCACCAGCCTCAGTCTGCTGACATAAATCTGAGCTGCTTTTGAATCAGGCTGAAGGTCCCAAATGGACCCGGCCGCACTTTGGACATTCGGGACCAAACCATTTTAAGCTCGTTAATATCTCGTCATTTCCTTCTTTATTAGGAGCTCAAGGTTATTTCACATGAACACAGATGAAGCAGATCTTCTGTCTGTGGTGAAACTCACCGTGTCCTCTGTCCACGAAGCTGGTGATGGTGTTGGCCAGACCGGCCTCGTGCAGCGCGCTGCTGTTCAGGTCCCCGCTGCTCAGGGACCAGTACAGGGACAGCATGTAGTCGTGTGGGGTCACCAGCGGCTGCTTGTCGCCCAGTTTCTGCCTCCTGGCGGCGGCTCCGCGTTGCGCCGCCGGAGGAAAGCCGCCGCGCGCCGCCGCCGCCGCTGCGCTCGCCCTGGCGGCGACCTTTCCCGCAGGTTTCCCCGGTGAATCTCCAACTCCGACGCCTCCTCCCGCATGTGCGGGGGCGTGCGGTTTGACGCGTGCTTCCGCAGCGGGAGGCCAGTAGCGCGCAGCCTCTTTGCGCCCCAGGTCCAGCGCTGCGGCCGGCTGCAGCTGCTGCTGATGGTGGGGATGAGGACGTTCAGGGTTCCCTCCCGCAGTCTGTTTGCCTCTCATCGGGGTCTCGGCTGTAATCAGCGGGGGTCCTGCGTGGGGTTTCCAGCTCCCTGCAGCGGGGACCGGCTGCCTTCCTGCGAGGTGCGCGGATCCACGGTGGGTTCCTCCTGTGCGCTCTGCGGGTCCGGTCCGGCTGAGGGAGCCGCGGACAGGATGCAGGTAGAAGAGAGTCCAGCAGCTGAGCAGCAGAGAGAGACGCGTCACAACGTTCATCCTAAAGCCCTGGAGCGCGCCGGAAGGCCGTCATGGTACAGAGCACAAAGTCACTTCAGGATCAGCGCAGCTGCTGGGCTGGAAGCGGAGCAGAGCGCAGAGATGGTGAGGCTCTCATCCTCATGTCAGACTCTGCGCGCTGCAGGAAAAACTTTTTATCCGATCAGAAACACAGAAAAAAGTCAAATCAATGCAAATCAAACCGATCCTATAAAACTCCTGCAGACTGTATTCTTCCCTCAGTCATGTTGAGGAAGCAGAATGCAGTGGAAGTCCCGCCAGCGCCAGAAGAGCTGCTCTGCTGGATTTCTGGAAGAAACTTCTTTAAATCCCACTTTTTTTTTCTTCCATGAGAGGCAAGAATGGCGTAATGCCGCTGCCTCCGTTTTTTCTCTTTTCCTCCAAAAGTTTGAACTCCGTCCAGTGAAAATATTTCACACACACACAACCTCTCTCTCTCTCTCTCACACACACACACACACGCACACACACCAACAAGCCAACCTGCAGGTGCTCCAGAAATCCTGCAGCAACCTGAGCGCAGGAATTGGGGACGGAATTCCAGAAAGCGGTTTTAATTACCCCGTGATGTCATCCTGTCCAGACTCATTTAACAGCAATATTTCACCCCAAATCTTCCTCCCTCTTTTCCACCGATGACTCACTGAGACTGCAGCACGAAATGGCACAGAGTGACCCCCTCAACGAGCAAACACCAGAGGAGAGGAGAGTGCTTTATGGCGCTGACGGCGAACTGCTTTAACTGTGATGTGAGCAACATCTCAGAGGCCCCGAAGGGCCCTTCAAGGGCCCCTGGTGCAGCTGCATCTTTTAGTTCTTAAAAGTTTCAAACAAATCATGAAGCAGCTTGAGCATGGACATATAAATATTAGTTTCAGAAAATATTCATTTTTTATCTGTATGGGTTGATGAGTTTTTAATCAGAAATGATATAAAATCAGCAACATTTTAAATAAAAAGTCATTTAGTAGCTGCGTTATTAAACAAACAGAACCTCAATCAGAGCTTTTTTAGAAATGTGGATGCTAACATTAGCATTAGCTGCTACATGGTTAGCATTGACAGGCTTTGCTGATAGCCTAGCTCCTTTTAGCATAGCAGCGTCCAATCAGAGATGCAGCTTCATGTTGTTTGTGTGTCACATTTACAGCTGTACTAGAAACGTGTGAGAACAAAGGTTCCACTGTAAAAATAACAAATTATTCGTTGTGTTTTTAACATGTTATAATGTGTGTCTTTATTAATCAAAATTAAACTGTTAAAATCCTGGTTCAGATTCATGAAATGTGTATAAAAATGATCTGTATTGGTATTGACTGACGCTTTACTAGCCAACAAACTTAAACTCAACTATATGTATTCTAATATTTCACTGAACAAAAGTTTGTACAGTCCAGTAAAAATCCATCATTATTATTATTTATATAACTGTATGAGTCAAACTCTATTTCCCAATGATTTAAGAAAAACAACAAACACAGCAACACTTCCTGAAGACAAACTATCAAAGGTTTGTGTTTTTCTCTTCGGCCTCGAAGAGTCTATTAAGCTGCTGAAAGTTAATTATTGTATTAATAATATTCAAATTTATTGAATAAGTTTGCATCTACAGTCATGTTTAATAACTTAGAATATAGTTTCAATTTTTATATATATCACAACACATAGATTCATTTCATCCAGACTGATTTTGTCGAGCCTTAATTTCTGTTTCTGTCTAATTTTAACCCAAACATGTCAGATTGAAAAGTCACATCAAAACAATATAATTCTGGTTTCTTGAATAAGAGGGTTAGGGTTTCTCACCCAAAGTCAGTGAATGCATCGATGGTGCATTCACTGACCTACGAAAACTCAAAGTAAATAAAATTACCATAGCACTGAAAAATCTAAAAACAGACTCATTTATCAGAAAACATTCAACTGATACAACGTCCTGGTGACGTCATCAAGCGATGACGTCACGTGACTCCCTCCAGCGCGCTTTAATCCGGAAGTATCTTTGTTTGAGTATCTGAACTGGGGAAATGTTTGACATGCAAATATCTATGCTGGAAATTACAAACTAGAATGGAAAACCGCGACCGACCGCGAGGTTGTAAGTAAGTTTAGTCTGACGCGGGACGTCGGTCTGACGCCGCGGGACGTCGGTCTGACGCCGCGGGACGTCGGTCTGACGCCGCGGGACGTCGGTCTGACGCCGCGGGACGTCGGTCTGACGCCGCGGGACGTCGGTCTGACGCCGCGGGACGTCGGTCTGACGCCGCGGGACGTCGGTCTGACGCCGCGGGACGTCGGTCCGCCATATTGGAGCGACAAGACATATTTAGTTTGAAGCTCAGTATGTAGCTTGAGAACAGAATATTTATCTCAAACTTAAGCATTTAGTTAGGAGTTAAATATTTATCTCACTAACTAAATATTTAATTTGATAAGCTTATAGTTTATAAACTATGTTTACTTTTATAAATATAGTTTATAAATATTTATAAAGATAAATATACGTTTAGTTTATGTAACTAAACTTGTTAAATATTTAGTTTGGACCTCTGACTATATGTAGGAATAATCTGGTGAAAATATGACACGTTTTTTTCTCTGATAGACTAAATTATTGCTGCTGATTTTTCCCTGTGTGATTTTCCAAATGGCAGCCCATAGGTTTAGACCGTCATGGTGTCAAACAGCAACAATCAGCTTTGCTTTTACCTTCTGCCTCACTGTAGATTTAACTGATAACCTCTGCAGCGCCCCCCGATGTGTGGATCTTGAACTGCAGTCTTGACCCTGCAATTTGGAGTAATCGGTGCAACGCTTCATTTTATCGCATCATGTTGGGTTTGTCAGGTTTACAGTTTTTAAACGTCCTTTTTTCTCAGCATTACAATGATGTTGGTTCTGATTCGGAGTCTAATTTATGACACCACAAACAGCGCCAGTCTGGAGCCATAAACATAGTTCCAACCAAGCTTTAGGAGTAATTAGCAGCCAGAAAAGTTGGGTCAAACCCAGAACTCTTGGCAGCGGCGGCGGTCCCTGGTGGTTTGGAGCTGGTTCTGGTGCTGCCTTGTTTGTCTTTCTGTTCTCTTGACTTGTGTTTTTCAGCATCAGAACATGGAGATGATGGATGAGGTGAAATGATTGGATATTACGAAGCTGTCGCTGATCAGATGCGGGCCGGTGCTGATGCGGCCGGCTGCGGTGATGGTGACGGGTTTGTGTTGGCCGCGGCTTCAGCTGGTCGGGTGATTACATGCAGGTAACTGTGACCGAGTTCAGAGCGGCTCTGTTTGGCTCTACGGCTCATTACGCAACAGAAAACTAAATTACTGATTCAAAATTGGCTTTATTACCCTGAACAACACGGCTTGGGCTGATGGTGAAGTTACACAGCAGGCCCTTCCTCTCTTTTCCTCTTTCAACACACTTTTTACACCTTTTTCTCCCTCGCAGTGAAAGCATGAATGTTAGTTTTACACCTCTGGTTTCTTTCAGGTTGCTGCGATTGATTCTTCTGCTGTTGGTGAAACAGAAATGAGGAGCAACAGAGAACAACTTGTCCTCACAAGGCTCAACTTTAATTCTGCTGGTTTGATTTTCTGTTTGTTTTTCTTTGCTGTTTTGCACATTTTCTCTCTGCTGTAATATTTTTTCATCCAAACCATTCTGGTTAGATTTATTTTGTAAAGAGAGTCTTAAACTGTAATTTCTAATCAAATGTGAAAAGTAATTTGAGGCAACAAAAGCAGAACAGAAGCTGTAGCAGGACTGAACGGACCAACCAAAGCAGAACCAGGAGGATCTGACAGAAAAAGGACCAGGAGCTTCATATCGGCGGATTGGTGCAGCTGAAGACCTGGTTCCAGAAAACCAACACAAACCAAAGAGTAGTCAATATCTTACCCATTAGAGCAGGGGCAGCAGGGCCTGCAGCTCCCCTGGTGGTGACCAAAACATCTAAAAATACAATTCAACTGAAATATTTTCAAACAAATATAACTTCTTAAAGGCTGTTTGTAAAGTTTCCTGCTAAAAAATGAACAGCAGTGATTTGAGTTATTTGTCATCAGGGAGAAAATGGCGGTTTATTTTTCAGTTATATTTTCACCAAGTTATTAATTTATAAACACAAATGAACATTTAATTTACAAGCTAAATATTTAGCTCCAAACTGAATGTCTAGCTTTCTAGTTAAAGTAGGAGCATGAATTATGTCTCACAAACTGAACCTCCATGCTGGCAGTTTCATGCTGGCATGTTTCATCAAATACCACACTGGTTATGACCAGACTGATGATGATGATGATGATGATGATGATGATATAGAAAAGAAAACCGGATCCGGTGCTAGAGCAGAACCGGCCCAGACGCAGAGGGGGAGAAGAATAACTGGATGAAAAAACGTTAGAGGAAGTGGTCAAAAAAGGAAGTGAGAATGAAAGTGAATCTCGACAACAAGGAGCCGGTACCGGGCTCGATCCGCCACCATGTCGCTTGTTTAATCCAGAACAGAACCCGGTGCTCTGCAGCCTCTGGAGCAAAAGTCATCTGGCTTGAATCTGCTCCGGCATCTTCGCTGGATGTTCCAAACTCAGAAATATCAACAAGTCATTTCTGCAGGCCAACGTTTCTCTGTGAAAAACCACATTTCCTCCGAACCGCTGCGCTGGACGTTCCTGGCCTGCAGCTGGACGTCTGAATGATCTGTTTACATCTGAGCGTCGCCCACCTTCCTCAGATACAGGAAGTGCCTTTACATCCACAGGAGCTGTAAAACTTTCAACGTGTGGATAAAAATAAAGCTAAAATAAAGTTAACCACATGTATTTCTTAAAACAAGAAGACGGAAAATAACCAGAACAGTCGAAGGAACCGACTGGCAGATGAAGATAGAAAACCACACATCAAGTCACATGATTACATACGATGATCAATAAAATGATCCATCAGTTCTGCATGTTCGACTCCCAGGGAGCTCG